AGTCGACAAATATACGCGTAATTTACTCTCAATATATTTTTTTTTTTTGCTATTTGTTAATTCCAATGTCGAAAATGCTGATTCACAGATGTATGATATTGAAAATAAAACTGAAATTTTGAAACATAAAATTTAGATTTTAACGTTGTATTTTATGATATTTCTAATAAATGAGTTAAAAATCAATAAGAATATCATTACAATTGTTTTTCTTACATGTGATTTTTATTATTTCATCATAATGCCATAATAATATCATATGATTATACTATGAAAGATTACAGTTTTAATTAATAATATTTTGGCGGCACGCACTACGGTAATACGTGTACACTAGTGTGTCGCGACGCACCGGTTGAGAACCACGGGTATAATGCATATTATAAGTAAATTTGTAATATTATTATTATTATTATTATTATTATTATTATTATTTTTGTATGTTTATTAATATATTACAATTTACAAAGAGTATATAATTTATGCTGTCTATTAAGTATTAAATATAATAATTATATTTAATACTTAATAAACATAATTATACTTAATTATTAATGTTAATACAAATTTGTAGCTACAACGGTAACCAGTATTAACTTTGATTCCTAATTAAAATTAAATTTTAAATTAAAGATATTTATTTCATCAAATTATAATAGTTCACAATATTAAAAAATATTTTACAAATTTTTACTATGAGTTGGAATAAAATAACTTAACCTAACTCAAAGAAATATAATATGCTGATATAATAAATATATATTTAATATATTTATAATTATTTTTGTTGTAACTATTGATAATACATTATATTTCCATGAAATGAAATAATTACAATTTAAATAAGAATAAATAAATAATTCCATATTATTTTTTAATAAATCTCTAATAACCAGAATTAAACGAAATTAACCGATTCTAGAACCCTTACTCTTTTAAAAAAACCGAAACCGAAAAAACCTATAGGTTACAGTCCCTGCCCATAACACTCATACTATAAAAATTTAAATTATGCTCCTTCCACAGAATCTTGGACATAATAATTTAATACCCTTTGAATAGGAACTAGTATAGATGGTAGTATAATATTATTTGAAATAAAATAAACTACCTGCCAATTATGCTCTATCAGCTGTAGTAAACCTTAATTTACCAATTTCATTTTGGTGCTATAATTGAATATTGCTGAATATTACAATTAATTCATTGTCCTCGTTTAATAAAGATTAAAATATGGTACTTTGAACTTAGAGGTATGGAGAAATATGAGAGTAATATAAATGTTATATTTTTTATTACTTTTGAATTGTACCTGTAAAATGACGATCGTAAGTGAATATTGTTTTTTTTTTTTGATTTGTGAATTATTTAATTTATTTAACTACTAATGTATTTAACTATTTAAATTTAAATTTAGCAAAACATAAAATTAATATAATAAAAATTATATCGTTTTATCAATGCTATCACATAAATTATAACTGATAGCTGCAAAAAGAAGCTAAATGTAGGCAATATTCTTTACAGACACAAAAAATGTTTTCCTGGAAAGATCCTTTCGTGTAAATCATGCCACTATCAGGGACGGTCATAGATAATACAGTAAAAATCGGCGATGACGAGTTTCAAGGGCCACCTAGTTTTTCTCGTTATAACCAGTAGCTCGTCATAAGTGGTTAGAAAGAGCATTTGTTGTATAATAAATTTAAAATATCATGCAATGCACAAGACACAAAACGGTAAATAACCATTAACAAAATTTTAAATACGGAGATTGTAAACTCTCCTGATTTTAATGATACATAAAGTCCCCCAATGATTAACTCTCCCGGGTCTGTTCTAGTACTACCCTAACGGAAACAACTTTCCTGGATATAATTGGACGGTTTTATGTACAGACAAAAATTACTTATTAGAAATAGTACAAGCAGTATCATTAGGTGAAATTGATGTCTCGTTGTCATTTGGAAATCCGCGAAAATTTCCCATGCTAGATGGTTGACAATGGTAAACCGGATTTTAAGACTGCATGTAGGAAGTGAAAATCCTAGTAAAAATCTCCAACTTCTAGTTGAATACATAGTAAAAGTATATGTCCCAATATGATTTCACAAAAACTAAATCATTTATGTTTTGACAGAGCAAGACATATTTTTAAAATAATTCAAATATCTAGGTACTTTCCAAAAAAATATTATAAGATATTTAAATTAAAAAGTAAATAATTTCGTGAAATTTTGGACAATCCAAAAGAAATGAATGACAACTGGTTGACCAACGTACCATGGTGTAATTATATATTACTTATTTTTCCAAGAAGAACAAACAGATTTGAACTCAGGAAAAAATACTGGTATAGGAAAAATATTAGAAATAGTAGTACCAAAAATTATAAACATTTGGAAAACTTCATGTATTCCAACCATGTCTTATATTCGAATTTGTAATATGATAAAAATGTTTAAAAAAATTACTGTAATAGAAGAGAATATTTTTGTACTACAAGAACCTGGTTTAAATTACTTGGAACACATTACGATCGAAAAAAGCACCACAAAAGAGGTAAAAAAAAATCAATTTAAATTATCTTTCTACAAAGTATGGGACTAAAGACCTTATTGCAATCGGATGTGATAGTACCATCGTTAATACTGGTTATAAAGCTGGTGCAATTCGCTTAAAGGAGCATACAACATAAAAATATATTTTTTTTATTTGAAAGAATGTTAAATTTTAAGAATAATGGTGTAGGTTTTACGGTTCTACCCACATTATTCAATAAGTAATGAGCAATTGAAAAAAAGACGTGTGACGTCATTTGGCTCTACTCTACATAATTGGATGTTAAAGTAATACGATTTTTAAGATTTGAAAAACTAAACGTCATATAGAAATTCTGATACTTGCATCGTCTTAAACACATAAAACCACACAGTTATACGCAAATTTGATTTCAAAAATAAAATATTTAGGTTGATAAATCGTTGTGTAAATCGAAGAACTTTTACACGTATAAGATAGGCAATACGACAAGTAAGGCCCAATGACGTTACGCGTAAAAGATCCGCACACGCTGCAGCGGTAGCGGTTAGAGACCACACACTCTAGTGGTAAATCAGGTGTGGTAAAATATGGTTACGCGATTTTACAAATAACGCTGCATGCTCGAAGTTACTACTACCACCCAGAGATATTTTGATAATTCACTTGAAATTCGTCGTCATTACATTCAATGACAATATTTCAAATAGCATTTTATTACTTATAAGTTATTACCATATACAAGAAAAGTTATGTATCTATAGTTATGTGAAATTAACAATTAGCATTCAATAACATATTTTATTATTATATATTTTAATTAAGAAATAATATAATTATGATTATCTACTACTCTAAAATATCTAAACTGTATACTATTTTGAATTATTTCTTAAAGTGTCCATAAATGTATCCAATATCCAATAATAAATTGTGTTCGATTGAAATCGACTAATCTATTTTTATTTTCAGGTAAATAAACTAACTTTGTTTTTCCAAAACACGTTTGTGTATGATGTTTCGTGATTAGTGATTACTGATTAGTATCAATTAGATTAACGATTAGATTAACGTTAAAAACAACAGTATAGTTTATTATTCCATTCCATAATAATCATGTCTCTTTCAAAAAAAGAAAATATTGAAAAATGTATTGTACAAAATCATTAAATAATGTACGATATGACGATTCTGGAGTTTCAGGATGTTAGGAAGAAAGATTACATTTGGGACAATATCATAAGTCCATAAATGAATGGAGAGCGTGTGTACGAGCTATAATATCACCACCGGTATCGCATGCTATGAATCTAGGAGAAAATATTCTAGTTTAAACATCCAAGGTTAAAATATCCAACGGATAAAATAACAAATGTATAGGACAAAATATCTAAGTAAAAAAATAATAAAAATCTGTATATCTGTACATAATTTTTTTATTTATTTTTTATTTAGATACATTGTTCAATTTTAAATCAAAATTAACATGACTTAATATTATATAATATAGTCATAAAATAATATTAGTAAAAATAAAACTATGTTATGTTGTAACGTATTACATAAAACTAAAGATATAATTATTACGTAACATTACATATTATTTTTATTATTTTATAATTGTATTATAAAGTATTAATAATGTTAAATGTTATTAAAATGTGATCTAAAAATGAACAATAATATATTTAAATAAAAAAATTATACAGGTATTAATGATACAGATTTTTATAATTTTTTTTTCATTTGGACATTTTATCCATTGGATATTTTAATCTTGGATATTTTATAACAGGATATTTTGTCCCAATACCGCATGTTATCGTTAACACTACTGCAGCAGTGTGTGCGGACCTTAAAGGAAACTTAAAACAAATACAGTTTTTTAGGTTAGGTTACCACAATAATATTGTGGAAATCTCATGTTTGCTATTAAACACAACGAAAGTAATGTGTGTAAAAGATGTTTATTACGTGTGTACACACAAACAACAAAAAACCTATACACAGAAAACACGAGTACGGGTGATGACGGTGGTCACGAGGTTTAGATTGTCCATAGGGTCGTAGTCGTTCGGGGAAAGTGTGTCATAATACGGGGAGAGCGGGAGACCGCCGCCATGACGTGGTGGTCGTTCGCGTCACCGAAAACCATAGTGACCAACCGCCTAACAATGTTATCACTTCCGAGCGGGAATTATGTGGTGGTTCACCACAGTATTTATTAGAGCATTTAAAGATAGTGAAACCAAAATGTTCGTCTATAGATCGCGTTATAGTCGAGTCAATAATATTGTGAAAATGGCTCGTAGTTGGTTTTTCATCACCTCTCCACAATTCAAAATAATAGTCAGCAACGCGTAATAAGAAGTCGGTTTATCGGAGCAATTGGTCATTAACGTGCGGCAGATAATGAGATTGAATTCAAAAGAATCAT